GAAGAAGAAGAAGAAGAAGAAGAAGAAGAAGAAGAAGAAGAAGAAGAAGAAGAAGAAGAAGAAGGAGAAGAAGAAGGAGAAGAAGAAGAACAAGAAGCAGGAGGAGAAGGAGGAGGAGGAGGAGAAGGAGGAGGAGGAGGAGGAGGACAAGGAGGAGGAGGAGGAAGAAGAAGAAGAAGAAGAAGAAGGCTACCCGCACACAACCATAATAAGTTATGGATGAGGCACATAATATTATGGATGTTAACCCTCGTGCTGATGAGTATTATTTCTAGATCAAGTTTAATAAATTTAGTTTTGCTGTATATTCAACTCGCACAGAAGGAACGTTTTAAAGAATTTCTAGTTTCGTGTAATGAGAAACGAGCCGTGATAGGTTTGTAGGCTACTTTATCGTTGAGTGGGTTAGAGAGTAACGCCCGCCCGCTCAGACACATAGTAACCTCGGGAAACAGGCAGTTTCTAGGTCACATTTTGTTTAACCTATTGTTTCCTACTGGTCACTCATGTATCCAACGCCTACATAACTAAGAATGTAAACCAGTAAGTAGAGTTGCTTTTTTAGGATGGACTGTTCATGCAATTCTATCCACAATTAAGCTTATTAGTTGAAAGTAGGCGATATCATTATTCCTTGAGGTAGCAGATTACGCCATGTAGCATAACAATGAGTGTTGTTATTTTTCTAGATTTAACACCTCTTTTAACACTTTATGGTTATAAAGTGGTGGGACCCTCCGATCCTAACGTCTATCTCCGATATGTGACAAAGCCAAATGGGTGGAGAGCCATAAATAACCGCTTCACTGTCTTGTGTGAGACTCTAAGGGCTCGCTGATAAGGTTTATCAAGAAAGTTTGGCCCTGAAGAGGTTAGCAACTCTTGAAAACAACCCTGGTTCAAAAACACCCTATTGGGAATTCGAAACCAGGCGCCACAGGCACCATAGCCCAGCATGATACCAGCTGAGCTAACCGAGCGCCTATAGCAAGTGGCTACACCAGAATTACGAAATTGTCCCTGCTCAGTACTTGGTTTTGACAAATTTGACGGAAAAAATTTCTAGTTTCACATGTCAAGCTTTTTCGAATGCAGTACTTCGGAATATCTTGATAACGACACCAAAATACCTTACGATTTTGACAGAGCAGATACACCATTGTGTTACTGACCTCATCGTCTTAGCAACTCAAAACGGTCAAAAATGTCAGAATGAACTTAGTAGTTCTAAGGTAGCGAAGTATCAATAGTTATAAAGGCACGTAGAAGAAATGCAAGCGCCAACATAAGGTGGATCAACGAGCAATAATAGAGAAAAATACAAATCGTCGGAAAGCTGTTCGGGTGTACTAAGTACTAAGCCCATTTGTTTTTTAATAGACAAAAAAATCCCCCTTACTTAATTTGTGATATTAGTTGCATGTGTTTGAGAATCATTATCATTATTTTTGTTCTTAATGTCAAAATTAAAAATCTAAGTTATGTTGAAAGAAGCACAAAAAGACGCATAATGTAGGTACGAATTTAAAAAAGAATGAAACTTGTTCAGGATGATTTTTCTTCTCTTTTCTGAAAAAAAAAAATGCTTTATGGCCTTGAACAGATGTGCAGCTTGCCGACGAAGTATACAACATCATGCTCACCGACATAAAAATGGGGTATTCGGTGCTTGGAAAAGTAAGACAGACGAATAGAAACAACGAACTGAAATTTAAAAGAAGTAGGACCAACTAGTGACACCACCCAACCGCTCGCTTTCCTTTGTATAAAAATACAAATCATCCAATTAAAAATAAAGGACTCCCTGAAGCTGTTGATGTGTAACATATATTTGTTGCAACACGTTTTGCACAAGATGCAGCACGTCTTGTTGGATTAAAACGGAGCAAGGGACGTCAAGCTGTGATACCAAAAGCATGAGACAAAGCTAGATCTATATATAATATATCATAGGCTGGTACTCTCTTGAGACAGTGAGATTGTGACATGCTTTGTGCTCGAAAGACAATCTTCATGGACAGGTTCATTTCTCGATTCCCTGTTCAAATGTGAAAAAAAAATTCGCATTGGATTCAAATGTTCATTTCTTGATTCAAAGCCAAAATGTGAAATTGAAATAACATTCCCATTGGAATTGTTGCTTTGCTAACGTTGGAGAAATGTGAGAGAGATATGATTCCCTGATTTTTTTTTCTAATATATAATAATATATAGATCTATTATACATTCATTTGAGGGATGGGAATGTTGGGTGAATGTTTCAAGGATTTTTTTTTTGGTCTTTTGTTTGTTTGTTTTGTTTTTCTGGGGGGGGGGGGGGGGGGTGCTATTGTGCTCAAATAGCAAACAGTATACGATGGCATGGTGAAAAAACAAGATTTGAGAGGAAAGGCTGATTTTTCTTCTTTTTAAAAAAAATGTAATTCAGTTGACTGCTCCTCAAATGTCAGTGTGAACTTCACATTCTCGTAAACAATGCCAGTGACAAAGCCTTTAAATTAAGAGTAAAAATATTTAAAGGTTAAGATGGACCTGTAGTAAGTCAGGTATCACATTTTACAGAAACATAAGTTTACATAACATATCATTATTGAGTGTGTAAAATCTGTTAAAACGGATATTCCGATACAGGACAATGTTAAACTTATTCCACAACTTCTTCTAAAGAATATCACGTCCCTGATGAATGGTTAAAAAGCATCTCGTTACAACGCTTCTCATCTCATCTCTCTCAGCAGTCCTAATCTCTCTCTCTCTCTCTCTCTCTCTCACACACACACTCTCTCTCTCTCTCTCTATCTATCTATCTCTCTCTCTCCACGACTTCTTCTCAAGAGTATACCCCTGTTGCATGGTAAAACGCTTCTCGTTTTAACGTTTTAAATCTCTCTCTCTCTCTCTCTCTCTCTCTCTCTCTCTCTTCTCTCTCTCTCTTCTCTCTCTCTATCTATCTATCTCTCTCTCTCCACGACTTCTTCTCAAGAGTATACCCCTCTTGCATGGTAAAACGCTTCTCGTTTTAACGTTTTAAATCTCTCTCTCTCTCTCTCTCTCTCTCTCTCTCTCTCTCTCTCTCTCTCTCTCTCTCTCTCTCTCTCTCTCCATAACTCATTCTCAACAAGATATCCCTGATACACGATTAAAACTTTTTTCTCTCGTTATAACGTATCTGGTCAATAATTATAATAACCACACAGCTGAAGCAGCAACCACAATCAGGCCCGGCTGAGGTTTTCTTACTTTCCACGTAAAAGTAAAAGTAAAAGTTCCACCTCGCATAGGGCGACCCAAAAGTTCCCACATACAGGAGAAAGGAACGTGTGAGTCTTTTGTGCTTTTTACATTATTATGAAGAAACAACTAAATACAATAACTTAATGGCATGTATCCTTGACATATTTTTGTCTCTACCACATTCTATTATAACTGTCAACTAGCAATAGCTCATTACTTATGGGGGACGGTATAGCATTAGACTCACACACATAGTAGACTATTTTCTACATGGAACGGCCCGTGATCTGAAGGAGTCTGGGTTCAGTTTTTACTACATGTACATACATGTAAAATGTCAACACAAAATTTTTCAACAAAAAACAACAGCAACAACAACATCAGGAACAGCAACAACGACAACACCAGGAACAGAAACAACAACAACAACAACAATAACAACAACAACAATGACAGCAACAACAACAAAATCTCAAGCCAAATTTTAACCATAGGAAATCGTATAAATCCATTTTGAACATCTTGCTTATTAAACTGAAAGCTCAGAAATTGACCAAACAGTTTTTGTTGCAATACAACAATTTTCAACGCAAACATAGTTTTGTTTGGGTTTTTTTTAGACATCTCCCTACAACAAAACAGACAGATACAGCGCTCAATACCTTGATACGTGATCCACAAGGTTAGAAAAGCCGTAATATCATTTCACAACCTCAGTGCTTTATTGTCGTATCTCCATTTAAAAATAATAAATTTAGTACAGGTTTTACAGCGCTCGCAACTGCATAAGGTCATATGAGCGCCAGAAGATTAGAGGTGTTACAAGTGAGTAAAAAACACAAAAAAGAAGAAGGGGAAATAAGGACGATATATGTTTGATATTAAAGAATGAGCAAACCACACCAGAGCACCCGCCAACCGTCCACATCTCCACTTTTAATAACAATGATAACAGTTCATAACAAAAAGTGAGCTGAAGAAGAAGTCCCATTTTCACTGTTTAAAAAAGGGAGATACGACAAGAAAGCACTGAGGTTGCGATTTATTTCGAAACCAATTCATATCATAAGAAACATGATTTAACTTATAGAACTTTGTTTGCCTCCCCTACGCTTATGTATGGATATTTTGGCCCACATGAAAAGATTCTTTTCTTTGACGCAAGCATTGTAAGTGAACTCAGTCCAACAAATCTCTCATTTTTTCGCGCATGCGCTCTCTGTCAGAGACATCTGGGTCGTCTCCGTCAAAGGAAAAGGCAGAATTAAAGCTGGACCGACTCTCAGATCTCACGTCCTGTTCCTTGCCATCCTCTCTGTCTCTTGGGTCCACTCCATTAAGCTGGCCTGGCCTCGAGGGAAGCTCGGTCAAATCGTCTTCTGCTTCCTGGTCTAGGCCGCGAGGCTGCATGACGTTGTTGTCCGACATAGGGCCGCGAGACGGTTGGAAATGAAGGGGCCGTTGCTGGTCGTGTTGCTGATGTTGGTGGTGATGATCATACTCTTGTTGTTGTTGTTGTTGCTGGTGATGATCATACTCTTGCTGTTGTTGTTGTTGCTGCTGTTGCTGGTGATGATGATCATGTTGTTGTTGTTGTTGCTGTTGCTGCTGATGGTGGTGGTAATCCGAACGTTCCTGAGCTGTTGCGAGGTGGTCAGAATCGTCCAGGCGGAGAGGAGTCAAAGGCGACTCGGAGCTTTCCGAGTCTATTGTCACGTGAGATAGACGAGGCGAGTCAACATCCCCGCCCTCTGGAGGCTGTACCTTCAGAACGGTGTGGTGATGTTGTTGTTGCTGTTGTTGTTGTTGTTGTCGTTTTCGTTGAGTGTCCTCCTCGAAGGCGGTGAGAGGTCTGTCGGGAGGCGGAGGGGTGGAGGAAGTGGTCGTGTTGAGCACGTCTTCACCTGACGTGTCCGCGTTTTCCCGCGATATTGACGGAGGGAGAGAAGTTATCGAAGTCTCATCCGGCGGACTGTCTGAAGAACCCGGGTCGTCCTCAGCATCACGATCTGCAGCCGACCTCTCGTAGCTCTCGTTTTCCACCCCTTCGATCAGCGCCGTTTCAGAAACGTCATTATATCCCTCATAACCAGAAGACACTGTGCTCATCGGAGTGAGAGCGAGGGATCTGTCCCCTACTATCGAAGGCATGGTCTTTTTATGTTGTGGCGAGGCAACATTCATACTCATATCACCACTGTGGTGAGAATCACTTTCAGCTGCTTCCTGCTCACCATGTTCGACATAGAAAGTGCTCTGAGCAACCCGAGTCGCGTCAGGGTCACCACGCCTGTCGCGCTCGTTTTGTTTGAGATCCGGAACCGACCGAGCCGATTCCAAATCCTCTTCTGTATGCGTAGGGAGCTCAAACCGGAGCTGACTGGGTCGCAACCGTCGCTGCTTCTTATGATGCTTCCGGTGGGAATGATGGTGGTGACTCGAACTTCTGTACCCGGAAGTAGAAGGCATACCACGTGATACATTCGGAGCAATAAAGGCAGCAGCAGACGCATGGGTCCCCATGGACCCGGAAGCTCTGTCAGGCGTTGAGATTCGCCTACCGTTGAGAGAGCGTACTGAGCCCTGATCGCCGCTCTTGATAGAGTCACGTGAGCCCGGACGCTGCCTGTGCGACCTACTGCCGCCGCCAACGGCTGTCAAGCTACCTGCAGAACCGTTATGGTGATGGTGATGATGATGATGGTGGTGGTGACGATGATGAGGGGCGATGCTGTTCTGCTGGCCGCCTTGCTGTTGCTGTCTCTGCTGACTACCTTGGCGGTTGTCGTCCTTTCTGTTGCAGATGACGAAGTAGACGACACTGACGGAAGCGCTGAGGCCCAAGGCAGCGATCGCCACACAGATGAGGATAATTCCCACAACCTTCTTTCCGTCGTCGTTGTGCAGCTCCGGAGGCAAACCGCTCGTGTCCACCTTCGTGTGGAACAAGTCCCAGGTTAGGAAGGGGAGAGGGGTAGGAGTGGGGTAGCGGAAAATGAGGGGGTAAATGTCAGAACATGTCAGAATTTCAGGCAAACCAACTTTCTAAAATGGGTAAATATGAATAAAGGAATGAATGAAAAAACGTGAGAATCCATGAATGCAAGAATGAATGAGTCTATAAACAAATGAATAAACGAATAAATATATTTAAAAGGATAGAGTCGTCGACCAAAGCATCCTCGAAGGAATCTGAATTCTAACCCCCCTCCCCCCTCCCTAAGACACACACACACACATACACACGCGCGGGCGCGGGCGCGCGCACGCGTGGCACGCAAGCACGCGCACATCGACACCAGGCGCTTTACTATACGCCCCTGAAACCAAAAGGGTCCAACTGAATTTCATTACTACGTAGATAGGATTAAACGACAAAATGGTTTATGGATGTTTAATCAACAGGGCGATATACGGGTATAAAGAAATCAATAAGACATTCATTAACTCCCCAACAGAATAATGTTCGTTTGGAAAGAATGTTCAGACCCAAAAACAGAATACGCTTACCATATCGTTGTTATTCTATCTTTTTGTTTGGCTTTAAACTATTTTCTTTTGCTTGTTGATGACATGCATGTGTCTGTGTCGGTGAGTGTGTGTGTGTGTGTGTGGGGGGGGTGTAAGTGTGTGTGGGTGTGTGTGCGTGTGTGTGTGTGTGTGTGTGTGTGTGTGTGTGTGTGTGTGTGTGTGTGTGTGTGTGTGTGTGTGTGTGTGCGTGTGCGCGTTTTGTTCTTGTTACTGTTGTCATTATTTTTTAGCGAGTTACATGTTTCTTTTATCGTGTTCATTTTATTATTACAAAAATTGACAGAAACTTAAACAAGATAACCTTTTAAAAAACAACAACAACTAATGCGAGATATTAACTAAATTCAAAATACATAATGAACGGATAACCATGAGCTTTGAAAAGAAATTAATTTTGAGGTTATAAAAAATTATTTTAAAAAACTTTCACAGTGTGAGTAAAGAGAAGCACATCGACACTATAACGGTCATTCAGTGCAGGATGAGATAAACAAGACTGACAGAAAAACAAAAGAAAGAAATAAAAAGAAGTTTTAGGGCTTATCACTGGCGCCCTTCAACCGAGTGCTTTGAAATTTTCCCACTGAACTGCCTATTCAAACTAACAATGTCGCAACTAACAACAGCGCACGCCATCGTGCCTCCTTTGGTTAGCTTTAGTGAGAATTGTACGGCACTTGCAACATAAATAGGTCAAATAAGTGCCGAAGATTAGAAGTGTTACTAGATCTACAGAGTTACATACGAAGAGAAGAAGGAAGAGAGATATAAGGACTAACAGATGTCTGATAGGAAAATAGGAAAGAAGGAGCTCGCTTAAAAATAACTCACAAAAGCACCCGCCATCCGGTCACTATCTCACCTCAATAATTAAGGTGACATTGTGCATAAAGGGACGACACATGTTTGATAGGAAAGAAGGAGCAAATCGCACCGGTACACCCATCCACCACCCGCCATCTTGTCTCCATAAATGTGACATTAAGTACAAAACAACAACAACAACAACAAAAACAACCCGATACATGTTTGATGGGAGGGAAGGAGCAAATAGCGCCGAAACACTCGCCAACCACCCGCCACTTTACCTCAATGGGACATTAAGTACAAACGGACGATTCATGAACGACAAGAAAAGAAGGAAAAACCACACAGGAACAACCATCAACCACCCGCCATCTTACCCCCCCCCCCCCCCATAAATGTGAAGTTCTGTTAAGTTTCAAAAAAATTTTTAAAAATTAAATCCCCCCCCAAAGCAAACAACAACAACAACAACAACAACCAACAAAAAACCCCGATACATGTTTGATAGGAAAGAAGGAGCAAACCACAAACCAGAACATTCGCCAAACACCCGCCATCTTTACCTCCATAAACGTGACGTTGAGCACAATGCAGATGCCGGCAGACAGCATGAAGATGCCAAACATGGCGGCGAACACACCCACGGCACAACAGCAGCACTGGGTGCGCGGGGACTGGAGGCTCGCCATCTGTCAAGGTAGGAAAAGAACAATGACGTGATGACAATCAGGAAACGTTTTTTTTAAAATTATTATTTTAGTTAGCGTTTAACGCCACTTGTAACACAGTAAGGTCAAATAAGTGCCGAAGATTAGAGGTGTTACAAGAGAGTAACAAACACAAAAAGAAGGGGGGGGAGAAAACGATGATAGATGTTTGATAGGAAACAAGAAGCAAACCACACCAGAGCACCCGCCAACCACCCACAATCAGGAAACGACAAATGCGGTTTTTGGGACACCTGAATAGACATAAAGGTCTTGAACATTTAGCTCTCACTGGAAAAATTGAAGGCAAACGAGGCAGGGGTAGATCTAGGTCAAGAGCAACCTGCTTAGGGAACCTAAACAAATGGGTAACGGGGAAAGATCAAGGAAATGTAGCTTTTTTAAGAGCATCCGAGCAAAGGAAAGAATGGAGAACCAGGATCGGCGATGTCTGTCGCAGATCTGGCACTGGATGATGATTTTTTTTTTTTACCCCCACCGACTCAGTAGCTTTGACCCTGTCTGTCGGGAAAGCTTACCCGCGTAAAGGGGGATATAACATAGTCAGGCAGATGGAGATGTCTGATTGGTTTGGGATGGTTTCTTTTATTCCCACTCGGTAAGCTTTAAAAAAAGTTTCAGTAGAGGTTTTATGGCGCTCGCAACTGCATAAGGTCATATGAGCGCCAGAAGATTAGAGGTGTTACAAGAGAGTAACAAACATAAAAGAGAAGAGGGGGAGATAAGGACGATAGATGTTTGATAGGAAAGAAGGAACAAACCACACCAGAACACCCGCCAACCACCCATCCACTCGATAATCGAACTTGCGTCTTCACAGACCCCGATGTTGGAGGAGCTCAGAACGCAAGTCTTGATTGGTAATTTGAACCACATTGTACATATTAGATAATTAATTAAATTGCATGGGCCTCACGCTTTTTAACATTTAACAATTTATTCAAGAGGCGGTACCTCCAACTTCTAACTTCTATCTCCGATAGGACTGAGATGATCATGGAGACCCTTGAAAATCCCTGAAACAATGTAAGGTCAAGAACACCCTATTAGAGGTTCTGGAACCCCAACTGCCCGCACCACAGCCCGAGTATGATTCCAACAGGACTTAATAAAACACCCGTACATTTTCTACGGCCGCACTGACATGATGTAGATCAGCTTTTGCTAACCTTCTCATAAATCGCAAGCGCACAGTTTTGCCACCTTTAAGAAGCTATAATTTTCCGACCGCCCTCCTACGGGTATTTCTAAGCTGGGCATTAAATAATAGCTGCAGTGATCCCCATCGCCAACCAAAATTACCAAATCGCCCAATTGCGAGCCATATCGCACAGGTGTTGGCAAACACTGATATAGATCACAGAATAAGGATCCTGTCTTTCAGGGAAAAAACAAGCGGAGTTTGTTTGTTTGTTTTTTGTTTGAATAAAGAGAAGCACATCGGCACACTGATGGCCATTTAGTGCTGGGAAAAGGTAAGACAGAGACAGCAGAGGGGAAGTAAAGAAGTAGGACCTACCAGTGGCGCCCTCCAACCAAGCGTTCCAAGTGGTGTAAGACACGGGCAAACTCTTGTTTTAGTTTTAGTAGAGGTTTTACGGCGCTCGCAACTGCATGATGTCATAGGAGCGCCAAAAGATTAGAGGTGTTACAAGAGAGTAACAAACATAAAAAAAGAAGAAGGGGAGAAAAGGATGATAGATGTTTGATAGGAAAGAAGAAGCAAACCACACCAGAGCACCCGCCAACCACATTAATAAATGTTTAAACAATACCAAGTCTATGGTGCAAGCAGAAAGACGAATATATACACAAACTTTAATAGATTCTACACGCTGGATTAAAACGACGTCTTCCCCACACCGAAATCAATAGCATTTTCTTTGCTTTCAAGGCAGGTAGCAACCATTATACGTTATCGCGTGACACGCCATGATCCTCGTAAATTTGAAGTAGCCTACTGTCCTTGTATTTAGTCATCGACCCAGCCAACCAGGAAAAGAAAAAAGAAAAGAGAAAGCGAATGGGACGACTATGGGCGTGACGAAGGGAACAAGATTGAAAAATACCGTACACAACACTTCCTTTTATTGATGACGCGCTCACAGCAAGAAATGTGCAAAGGGGGGGGGG